GTCGAAGGAGTGATATTCACCTGAGATATCCAGTGAAATCGATGCATGAAACGAGGTGTGAATTCGATTCGTTTTCGGCTTTGAATCGACCGATATTGTGGACTCAAGTTTATCCATCGTGATCGAGCTGTAAAATCCGTTTCTGAAAGTGTTAGCTGTGCTATGGAAATATTCCTAAAGGCATAATCAGTCACAACGCTGAAACAAAAGCACAGGGAGAAGGAGGGAGCACAACGGGGAGAAGGATGGCTCGATCGGGTCGGAGATACGCCACGCTTCTGCTCTCCGCTCCGAAACGTTAAGTCAATTGAGTTGGTGGGGTACAAAAAGAAATAACAATGGGAGATAGAACTCAATTCCACTAAAAATTAGGATTCTTGAGTTGTGGTAATGTCATCGTATTCTGGAGAAATATGTACGCTACGCCACCCGATTGAGTATAAAAAACCCTTCAACTTTTTTCTCGAATAATAAGAGCCTCTTTTCTTTCAGCACAGCATCATCCTATATCCTTACAAATACCCTTTCTAAGGAAAGACCTGGATGAGAAAGCCGATGAAAATAGGGGAAATTTCTTCCCCACCCCGGCTACGGCCTGGAGTTTGCACAGTTTGCACGGAGAGCATGACAAAAACGGACCCTGCATCTGCAGGGGATCAATGCTGGGGGAGAAGAAGAAGGGAAGCTACTTCTTTATAATTTCCAATCCTTTCCACATAGCAGTTTTAAAGGCAAAAGTCGGGCTCAATAAGGGGGTATTATGGCGATTGAAACTGAGTATAGAGATGCGAAGTGGAACGACAGTGGAGAAAAAACTGAGAAAAACCGTCGACAAGGCCGTTAACAAAACCCTCTTTCCCACTAGCAGTGAAGGAGGCTGGCTTGGGGAAAGAGGCACGTACAAACAAGTTTTCTGGAGATGTCAGTCGTTCTATCGGTTGGAGGTGGGCGGTCCTGGATTGACCAGGCGGCCCTGGATTGAAACCGAACGCCCCGGGGCCTTAACAAGGTGGGAAGTTGCTGCAATGTGTGCAGCTACCCACATACAACCTCCAGGCACGGGAATTACTTCTCTAGCGTGCCTGAGCCCGACCTTTGCCTTTTGGAATAATTCCTGCGTAAGGTGCCCTGTTTACCAAGGGTGGAAACTCGATCTGGACAGGGTGAATCGCAGAACGATGGCGCCTTCTCCATTTTCACCATTCAGGGTATAAGAAAAACTAAAAATATTCCTTAAAATTCAACACCTTTGTAGCGAAGGAAAGCATGGGCCGTTTTTTTTTTTCATAAAATAGCCTGATATCTAAGAATTACTAAAGCTACTAGAAAAGTACATAAAAACAAAAAAAAACAATAAAAGGAAAAAATTGGCTTCAAATCTGTAAATAAACATAAAAATAAATGTAAATATTAGCAAATGACTAAATAACTAAAATGACATGGTAACTGCGAAAATAAACACTGAGTTGAAAAAATTTGCCGAAGTAAAAAAAAAAGAGCTCACTTTTTCATGCCGCCTCGATCAACAGCGTAAAGAGCTGTATTAGGGTCACTAATGCCATTCACTACACGTACAATTGGTATCAAGCCGGCTACAATCGATGTGTCGCTAAAACGGCGGGAAATTTGTGAATTTTGACATAAAAAAAATCGCTTGCCACATTTAGTTGACGGGGGACCACGCGCGGTGCGGCGTTCTGTTCGTCTGCTCCTCTAAGGCTTAGTCCCAGGTTGCAGTTACTATTTCGTCGCCACGTGGCAGTTTCGAAATACGCGCCATCGGCGGACTAAGCCTTGGAGGAGCAGACGAACAGAGCGCCGCGCCGCCGCGTGGTCCCCCCCCCAACTAAGTTAGCACCGAAAACCGATGACAGATGAAAAGTCGTGAAAACTGGTAATGAAATGAACAAAAATTTCGAAAGCTGCGTACCGTGTCATTTTCAATCGTTGTCGCATATATTTGACGATGGCCAGTTTTATCAATGAGCAGAACACTATGCAGAAACATACTCCTGAAATTCTAATACCTAGTTCAAAGTGATTGCTCGCTTGGGTTCTTAAGTTTTGTTCACAACCCAGCATTCTTGTGAAACATTCGCAAGGCGAACTGCGGCCAAAAACAGCAGTTAACAAACAAAAACAAGTCAAAATTCATTGCTAAAGCTTTCAGCCTCGCGGTCATTGCCGATATCGGCTAACCGGCTCAAGTGCCACGCTACGCCTGTACCTACCTTTTTTCATTATCTATACCAATTCTCTTCTTGCCTGCAATGGGGATGTGTCAAAAGCCAAAAGAGCAGGTCAGGGCACTAGGAACCTTCGATTTGAGGAAACGAAGAGAGCCACCGTATCCCATGTTGGCGCGCCGCACGACCGCTGCTTGTACTTCTAGAAGGCCCCATTGGAAAGACTGTGGAGGAAAGGATCATCCGCACACGTTTGAGCGTCGTTCAAAGGAAACTTGCACTCTCGCTCGGAATCAGCGGTGCGCGCCCCAGTGCCAACGTGGATTACGGTGGCTTCCCAGTTATGTGCTGAAAAATGCCTAACTTCACTTTGAGCAGCTCAAACTGTTCAATTTTCTGCCTTCGTCTGCACACTTGTGCCCGAATAATTTTGACTTTTAGTCTGCCTTACCCCCGCATATCTCCTCTGATATAATCCTACACCATGCGATGCAGTGAAAAGGTTGTGGTGAACCGGTTACTTACATCAAATGGATTCCATTAGATTTAAAGGCACAACCCAGGCAGAGGTCGTGTGAACGCTTCCCTTCGGTCTGTAGTATAGACCCCTAGAGGACAATCACAAATGTGGCGTTCTCGTGCACGGAAACCAACCGA